CCCTGCCCCCCTCCCCCTGCCCCCCCCTCTCTCTCTCTCTAACACACACACACACACACACACAGCTCCCAGCTATGGCTGGCTGGCACAGCTCTCCCTGGCACTGGTTCAAGAGTTTCACAACCAGCAGCTAGCCAGATTGAATGCCCCTGGTTGCCCCAGGCCCGATGAACACCTGGAAGCTTGGATTCCGACGACTTCGGACTGGTCTGGGGAGGCGCATATGCAGACATGTCCAGACTGGCCTTGACTGGCCTGGGCCCTACTGATCAGTTGGGAGAGCCGGGGAATCTTCATTTGCCACTTCGCACCGGGCCTTTTCCACAACCGGCCACTTTAGGGCCAACACTCACTCCACCTGTGGGCCCTGTGGTTCTCACAAAACAAGAAAGAACGGGAAAACCCAGAAAAGGGGAAAAACTTTCGAAAAAGCCTCGAAAAGGGATAAACTTCGGATAAAGGGAAAAATTGTTCTATTGTCTGCTCTGACTGCCTACCTTCTCCAAAAGTTGTGGCTGCATGGTGTTTGAGGCTATCCATAAGATGCGTCCAAGAATTAAATCACTGCCAATTGCAAATCCCCAACGAACTGCTGCATCACCGTGGAGACTTGCACTAAGCAGTCTGCACAGAGAACACACCGACAAAAAAACAAACAAACAAGAAATTTGGTCAAATTCACTAAAAAAAAACAACGGATGGATATCGGCCAATCAGGCTATCCGCATAGGTCACAGAACCAGCACAACACAAGTGGCGAACAGGGACCTCCGCTCTTCAGCACATACGTTTCTAGATCTTCACTTGTTTTTACCCCTTACTGTTGGCTTGTTTGCTGTTCACTCTATGGATTGGTAGCAAGTTCTTGGATTAAACTTCTGTGCAACCGAACTTCTTTATAGTGTTGCCTGCCAGATATGCCCGATGCATGCAAGGGAAGGGAGAGCACACCCACACCCAGAGGGCGGAGGGTGCTGGAAGGCCACTGGCGAAGAGCGCCAAGGAGGGACGGGAAAAAATCAGTGGCACTGGTACATTGAGAGAGAGAGAGAGAGAGAGAGAGAGAGAGAGAGAGAGAGAGAGAGAGAGATGGCAAAGATCACACCGACTATTCAATTTCACGTGCTGCTGAGGTTACACCCTCTGGACACTGCAACACGTGAAATTGAATAGTCGGTGTGATCTTTGCCATCTCTCTCTCTCTCTCTCTCTCTCTCTCTCTCTCTCTCTCTCTCTCTCTCTCTCTCTCTCTCTCTCCCCCCCTGTGTGTGTGTGTGTGTGTGTGTGTGTGTGTGTGTGTGGCTATGTTGTGCCCAGTTCAAAGGAGAACAAACTGGATCCATGCAAGAGCCACAAAGCGCTAAGAAAGGAGTTCAAGGATTAGTCATGTTTTCATGGTCGGATGCCAGGAGCCAACACACCCGTCTGCCATGACAGGACACTTGCACGTCGTACATAAAGGACGGCAGGAAAAGAAGAACCAACCTGGTATCGACAAACAAAAGTCACAAGTCCGTACATATGACCACTCAAAAAACTATTCAACAAAAAACATGTCAAAACGAAGGTACGGTTGTCCTATCAGTTGCCATATACCCCCTCGTACCTGCAGCACCAGCAAAACAAAACGAGCATGCATGGACGGAAGGTTCGTGCAGAAATAGCAACTCCACTGGAGATAGCACTGTGACCCCCCAAAGCAAATCGCGCCCACAATGACAGCGCTCTCAGCCCATCCATGAACACTGCACAAAACGGGCTTGATGCCACGAGAACCCCTGTTGCAAAACCATCCGTCCCATTCCTGGAAGCACTCTAGAGACCTCCTGATCTTAACGTGCTTCTAACCAGCAGCCCACAACACATTGTCTATCCTCCTCATGAAGACCTCCTCGGCAAACGAAAACCCATAACCATAACAAACCAAGAGTGCCCAGTGTAGGTAATGTGAGGTACAATAATGACAGAAGATAATAGCATAGTAAAAATGCGGCTGTCCCCCATATGAGGAGAAGACAAGACTGCATTAAAAAAAAAAAAAAAAAAAAAAAAAANAAAAAAAAAAAAAAAAGAGAAAAAAAAAGTGCCCATGGGTCGACTCGTAGCAGTCCCCCCCTTGTTAGGCATCTAGTGGCACAAGGAAAACGCTGTTCCTTGCTCTCTCTTTACCACTTGTGCCCCCTTGCTTGCCGGTACTAAGCAACCGGACTGATGCCCCCAGAATAGAAGGGGCTTTGTGTTAAAAAAAAAAAAAAAAAAGAATCCAAGTTGCCCAAAAAAACAGTAACCATTCCTGAGAGCGTATGCGCAGTCGGACTGATGCTCCCCAGAAAGGATAAGGAGCCAGGACTGTACGGTTCTGTTTTGTTCCGTTTTTTTTTTTTTTTTTTAAGCACCACTACCTTTCCCACTGTTGAGAAAACGGCAAAATAATAAAATATCCTATTCCTGAAAAAAAATCGGACGTCGGGCCCGACGACGACCGCCGTGCATAAATCTAATCGGCAGCCGTCATTTCATATCGGCCTCCTAAAGATTTGGGGGCCCAACGTGGTTTAAGGAAAGAAAAAAGAACGTATGTGTACAAAAGGAAGACACTGGTCACTAATAACCCAGATTGCACAAAAAAATGAATGGAGAAGCAGCGCATTGCTTGCAGCCACAGCCAGTGGCCACACACACATATGGGCCAAGACCGTTTCGGGTGTGGCTGTGGGAGCACTGCATCCAATCTTCACAGTCGTAGTCCCTGTTTTGAATAGCACAGCAGTGCCGAAGGCCAGAGCATGTTCCCGCATATAGTCAATGCAAGCCCGACATCCCAAGCAGAGACATATCAGAGGCAGCATGGCTTCCGTATGCTCAGAACTGAGAGGAGTGGTGAATGGAATTAAGACACTGCAAGTCCAGTCACATGGTACAGAGAAGACATGGCATATGAGGGTCTAGTGGATGAGTGTGCAGGAGACTATCATCAAAAGTGGGACTTGAATGGAACATACCCTCCCAATGTCCATGACAGAGGGAATGCTGATCAGGAGGACTCCAATGGATCTGAAAAGTGGCCTTGGGACAGCTTGCCATTACCAGGGGGCTTCATCAAATGCGCCCAACTCGAGAATCAAACACACAACCAACGGCTTGTCAGGCAAACACCTAACCAGTAGGCTAAGTGGGCTGGTGTAAATGGGTTAGAGTTTGGTGTTGCGTTTGGGCGGAGGGAGTGGCGAAGGCAGGGAATCAGAGAGGCCCCCCCCCCACGGTACCTCGGCTCTCTTTCCTGTGAGTCAATTGCAGGAATGGACTGCGGTTGTTCTTCAGTGTGTAGCAGAGGACAGTCTGCAGGCAGAGGGCCTTGGGCACCATAAGAAAAATCGTCGTCAAGTTTGCCGTGGACTATCAGCCAGTTTACCTGTCTATCGACCTTTGTTTTTGTGCTGGCATAAGTGTTTCTTGCCTTGCACAGCAAACATAAGCCCCTGCCCCACAGAAAGAGAGAAGACATGAAGGTACAGAGCACTCTGTTACACAAACAGTTGCATCTGAACAACTCAGAGCATAGAATCATTTCATATACAAATTCTTAACATAGAGTGCTATCTTGCAGGTATAGGACACTAAATAAGTTTAATAAACTCAAGAAGAAGAGGGAGAAGGGGAAAGCGGGAGGCAGGAGGAGCAAGAGAGGGAGTAAGGCAGGAGGATCAAGAGAGGGAGTAAGGACTAAATGGGGACAAAGGAGGAGACAAAGACGCAGAAGAAAGCAGAAGAAGAAAGCACAAGAAGGAGAAGAAGAAGCAGAAGCAGAAGCAGAAGCAGAAGCAGAAGGAGAAGGAGAAGAAGAAGGAGAAGGAGACGAAGGAGGAGGAGACGAAGGAGGAGGAGACGAAGGAGGAGGAGACGAAGGAGGAGGAGACGAAGGAGGAGGGGGAGGAGGAGGAGGAGGAGGAGGAGAAGGAGGAGCAGAAAAGAAGAAGAAGAAGGAGGGGGAGGAGGAGGTAGGGAAGGTGTGGAACGAAAAGAGAGGGAACGACCAACTGGGGCTAAGCCTTCATGCGTAGTTATATTGATGCGATGAGACCACAGTGAATAGAAACACCACAGAAACTGATCACTTCATAGATGGGGGAGGAAATACAGAGACGATTGCAGGAAGCGATCCAGTGCATGCCAATCACCTCTGCATGCTAATACGTAAGTTGAGAACAAATGCAGTTGCATGTAAAGAGGTTCAACCTTTACCCTTCTACATTGACTGTCTGAAAGAGCCTGGTACAGTGAGCGGGCTAAGTACCGGTACCGGATGCGTATTGATTGGAGCGATGCATGCTCAGTTGGAGCTAAGTGTGTGAGAATTGCCGACGCATTCGGGTGTTGTCCGGGTGGAGTTGAGTGAGGTGTGTGTTGAGTTTGGACACTACAGCCTTGCAGGGGTGGGGTGGATATCACGACCCGTATGGTTCTACTTTTAAACACCGTGTCCTGGCTGTAGTGGTTAAGATAATTGGCTTCTGAGGCCGAGGTCGCCGGTTCGAATCCGTGCGTGCACAGACGAGGGCTTAGGCCTGTTTGAGGACGGATCCGTATAAACAAACTGTTTCACATTGAAAGGATTTCACTTCGAAAGCAACACACAAAACGAAATGGAAACAAAGAGCTTTGATGTAGCCCACTATACAAGTGCCAGTGGCTAAAAAAAGCTCAACAAGCTGGATTCCAGAGATCTGATGAAGCAGATAATGACCTGCAGACTTCTGTCAAGCTTGCGGGATCATCAACAAATATCTGCTGAACAGCAACATCCACCAGACCTTCCATGTTGGTCATAGCTCTTTCAGTCTCTGGATGGCAGGCTAAGTTGGCCAGAATTCCCAAACAGATTTCCTGCAAATACAAAGAGGTTCAACACCAGTTAAAGACCAAATTATCTTATTTTTTTAAGTTTTTTTGGATTTGTTTTCTTAGACGGTTTGATTGGTCCCTAAGTGTTATCATCCTGCTCAACTCACAATGCAAAACTCATCTGTGAAGCCAGCAAGGTTTCACAACTCAAGAAGTGGAAAAAGACAAAGAAGGAAATAGAATGTAAAAATGACATACACAAGTTCGATCCAACGTCACCTCCCTCTTGTCTTGCCCAACATCACCTTCTTTTCCCCTCATCTTCTCCGTTTGTAAACAAGAAAACAGCATATGCATGAATGAACAAGAATCAGTGTGCGAATAATCCCTGTTGCTGTCAGCACTCAAAGAGCTCTCCTTTCAGCCCTACTCCCACTCCTCTCCTCTTTGTTGCATAAGTAGCTAAGGCCGACGATGCATGACCATCATGGATATCCAAAGGACAACGCAACTACTACTGTGCCACTCCCATCTCATGCCACTAGATCCACACCAATAGATGAAGTCCAAGACCAACCAGTATCCCAACAGGGACCTTTTAGATGCAGCGCCAACCAAGGAAGCAGAGAGGAAGCTCCACCACAGACACAGGTAAATCTCTAATGTTCTTCCCTCCTTGCTCTTCCTCAACCTCTCCACCTCTCCATCTCTCCACCTATCTCCATGGCCTGGCTTGCAGTTTCTACCCCTCTAAGTTTCCAGCCTAGGCCTATAGCTCTGCAGGCCTTCTTCCTCAACCTCCCGTTTTGAACCTAAAATCCACCTATATACGGGCCCTGGGCCATCATGACCTCTTAGGAGTCTACCAGACCTTCCTAAGCATGAATGCCGATGGAATGTGACGACCTACACATTGCCCCGAATGATATACTCAATCACGGCCTCCAGTCCCGTCACCACCAGACCCTTCAGCATCTACCAGTGCACTAGGCCTACCATAGATATGTTATGTGCCTGATTGAAACGAAATCCAACATGGCATCCACACGTTCCCATACACATGCGCAATGGCAAGTGGACTTGGAGAGAGCAATCCACACCAAACCAGATGAGGAAAATACACAGCGGAAGCACACAAATGCCCAAAATAGAATTGAATTATTGAACTGAAAATCAATTCTAATTACCGTCTCTCCCCGATTCAATCAGCAACACAAATTTTCTCAAGAATCCCAACCACGTTATCAACAACCACAGACCAATTATTTACGAAGTTACATCAAAATGTTACGATCCTGGTCATTTCCCAAGTGCGAATTCACAACGAAAGACAATGCCACCCAATTGCGAAAGAAATGAAAGCACTTGCAAAGAGATAAAGACCAGAGGAGAGGTAAAGAAGAAGAAGAAGAAGAAGAACAAGAAGAAGAAGAAGAAGAAGAAGAAGAAGAAGTACATCAGCAAGACCAATGACAATTCCCCTTTCTTTCTCCACCTTCCTCCTCCTTCTCTTCACCAATCTTATTCTTCTCTCAATAATAATAATAATAACAATGAATGGATGAACCAGAATCAATATCCGAAGTTCCCTCTTACTGCTGACTCAACTCAACAACAACAACAACAACAACAACCAGTCCACCATAGCTATGGCTTCCCTCCTTCGGCCTCCTCTCTCATGCATAGGCTATGGCGGACTAATGAGGGCCTGGCCCTGATGCCTAAAGGACCACTCAAAGCAGCTATGTCGCTGCTGGCTTGGTCCGCTATGCCTGCCTCTGCCTCGAGCTTCCCCCAGGTGCCGCACTACCCCAACCGGGGSCTTCCAGATGCAGCGCCCAACCAGGTGATGAAGATGGTGTCTACCATAGCCAGGTACGTGCCTCGCCACTCTCTCCCTCAACGTCCTTCTTCCTCCTCCTCACACTGGGCTGCTCGCCATAGCCAGGCTGAGCGCCCAGCTACCTTCACCTTCAMCCAGCGCTGTAACAGACCAACACTAGCGCTCCAGCAGCATGTCGCCAATCCTTGCATACCGCAAATGAGGAAGAGCTCTCCGCTCTTCCTGAAGATATAGCGGCCTACCGGCCTCCTGGGCGGTGACTTCCTAGGCCGAGTGGCCTCCCAGCAACCGGTACCTCCTCCCTTTCGGAGGGAAACATCATTGCAGGCTCTGTTATCGTCCGCACAGGCCCTAGACTCGGGCTACTTGGACTGGTACCGGCCTACCTCTAACCTACCGCTACTGGGCCTCTAAAATGCCAACTTTTTGTCTTCTTCTGCTCGGCCTCCAGTACCCGACACTTCTACCACTACTTCAGTGGTACCGGCCTACCTGCTACTTGAGTGTTTTTCCCCTCTGCTCTAAGTGCCGCGGGCCTACCCCCGCTACTCGAGTGATTTCCCCCTGCAACCCTTCACAGTCACGGCCACAGGYAAGTACCGGCCCTGCGGGGCCTTGCAACCAACAAGTACCCTTGCSGGTCACACACACACTCAACCGCCAAGCACTCAGACAGGCATGCAAACCAGCAGGCACGCACACACACACAGACATGGAAATCACAGCAGAATGCGGGAATTTCAACAAGGCATTCATTCCAGCGGCAAATCCCAGAAATCAGCAGTGTTCTCAGTCTGTGTTTTTGGCAGGTCATTACATTACCCCCCTCTCAAGAGCGAGGTCCCTTCGAGCGAGTAACTCAATCAGAGTTGGCACAGAATGCATCGTAGGAGTAGATCAGAAGGAGAGACTTAGTTAGTCCGTGAGGAGTCATTTCTGCAACGAATTTAGCAGTCTGTCCCTCAGCGATCTGTTGTTCATAAGCGTTCACAACATGGGGAGCACTCTTTAGCAGCTCTTTTCGGTCGATCCAGAAGAATTCAGTCAACGGGTGATAGAGGAAGTGAACCTTGTACTCTGTTCCTCCCTCTTCCCTCGTGAGAAATGATTCGGTCTATCTCATGGCCGCCGTCGATGGGGCGAGGTATCATAGGGTCTCGGAATGGAAACGTCTCATCATCAATGTGTGGGAACAGTTTGGACGCATGAAAGACCGGATACGTGCGCAGATGAGGAGGCACGTCAATCACATATAAAGGACCAAAATCATCCCCAATCACCTTCAGAATCTGCCAGGGGCCATAGTACAATGGAAGGAGTTTGCGTGATACGCCCTCTTCATCAGAAAACTCAGACATTTTAACCCAAACATAATCCCCTACTTTGAATTTCTCTTCTTTGCGCAGCTTGTTAGCACGTTTGATCATGGCATGCTGGCGCTTGTTCATGGCTGCAATAACAGCTTTGAGCAAGCATGCGTACTTGGCATTGTAGCCAGGCATGCCGGGCGTTAGACCAGGTGACCGTTCGGGGAACAGATAGGAGAGGGGATTGCGCATCAGCCATCCATACTGCAGCTGGTTTGGTGTCACACCAGTTGCAGAGTTATACAGTCCCTTTACCTTGTGCAGCTCCTTGTCCCACGTGTTCTGATCTGGAACAATCAATGCGCGGAGTAGTTGGATGACAGTCTGGTTGATCTCCTCAGCCAATCCATTGGCTTCGGGGTGTCGACCAGAAGTCTTGTTCAGTTTAATGTCATAGATCTGCGACGTGAAGTCCTTCCAATCTTTGCTGATGAATCTGGTGTCCCGATCACTCACAATAGTTTTCGGAACGCCAAACTGCAGAATGTACTGCTGATGGAATTCCTCAATGACAAGTTCAGTTGGTGCATGGGGAGGGAAAGGGATCAGATTCAGAAATTTGGAGAAACGATCCACGATGACCATGACCTGAGACTTCCCTGCTGCACTCACCTTTCCCATGTCCGTGAAGTCGATGAAGATCGATTCACCGGTTCCATTAGGAATGGGGAGGGGTCTCAGCAGGCCATAAGGCTTATGCCTGTGGAGTTTGGTTCTCTGACATACCTGACATTCAGCAATAAATTTCTGGGCAGATCCTTTCATTCCTGGCCAATCAAATTGTTGTAGAAGACTTTCATAAGTCTTCCCAAAGCCAAAATGTCCACTCCGACCATGTGCCAAATCCAAGAAATGAGTTCGGAGAGGCGCATGGTTGGGTACACACAAACGGTCAAACTTCCCATACCAGCGGAATACAAGACCCTCGCATTCATAAAAATCAGGCTGACTGTTAGGGTCAGCCTTGAGCTGCTCAAGGATGGGGCTGAGGTTCGGATCCTTGGCGGTGTGTTCAGCCAGATCCTCCTTCAATTTCCTTCGGAGGTCGTATGAACCCACAAGGCAAGTCAAGAATTCACGATGGTGGGATAATGCATCAGCAACCCGGTTATAACAACCTTTCTTATGTTTCAACTCGAAACTGTAAACATCAATGTCATGCAACCAGCGGGTCAATGTAGGAGAGAGTTCAGATTGTGTCTGAATCCACTGCAAGGTCTGATGATCAGAGTAGACCTTGAAGTGGCGACCCAAGAGGTAGTGCTTCCAATGTGCGAGGGCTTCGYGCAGGGCGTAAAGCTCACGCATATACGTGGAAGTAGCTACCTTGTGGCTGGGCATGCGTTTGCTGYAATACTCGAGCRGACGCAKGCCATCMCCATCATCTTSYTGCAGCACTGCACCAATCCCGAACTGGCTCACATCCGTAGTGACTACGAACGTGAGGTTGGGATCTGCAATGCGAAGCACAGGATGACTCACCAATGCCTCTTTCAAGGCTTGGAACGCAGACTCACACTTCTCACACCATGCATAGGCAACATTTTTCCTGGTTAGTCTTGAGAGAGGGTGAGCAATGACAGAGACTTTGGGCACAAACTTCCGGTAATACGAGGCCAAACCGAGGAAAGAACGCAGTTCGCGCACATTTGCTGGTTGAGGCCAGTTTCGAATGACCTCAACCTTGGTTGCCTCCGGCTCAAGGCCGTTTGCAGACAACCGATGCCCAAGATAGATGACGCTGTCCCTCCCAAACTCAGATTTCTCTAAGTTGAGGTGCAGCTGCGCCTCCTTGAGGACCTGCAAAACTTCCTCAAGGTGCTTGAGGTGCT